TTACAATTCTTCGTTTCAGATTTGAAGTTTTCCATATTGATTTTCAAAACAAGCCCGAATGGTTCATTTTGAAGAATCCGGAAGAAAGTGTACCACTTCTAGACCATAACGGCAAAGTTTGTTCATTCACTTCATTTCTAGAGATTTATTGAACTTCTTCGAGTTGATTAAGTGGAACTTGTAAATGTCCGAGGGAAGTGATCAGTTCTTATGAAAATTACAAATATAAGTTGCAGCTGGTGATTGACTCCCGAGTGATTATTGAATATTTGGATGAAACGTTTCCGGAAACAAGTATTTTGTCCAAAGACTCGTATCTGAGAGCAAAGCAACGATATTATGCACTGAAACTAGAACCGGTACACTCTCTCACTTCTAAAATTCTATTTATCCATATTCATCATAATAACTATTTATTACAGATCTGTGAAACAATAAAACAAATGACATACTCGACAAAACTAACCGGTAATATTACCGTCCTTGCATTGGAACTTGCCACGGCTGAGCAATTGTTACAATCTCCTTTCTATTCAGGTTTCCTTATTTCTTTCCTTTTATTTCATTTATTATAAATTACTTTCCGTCCATTTTTTGCATTTTTCTTCATACTTTCTATTTAAAATTTAGTTCCAATCTCTTTCTTACCTTTGTTTTAAATTTATTTTTATAAATGCAGGTGAGGTACCCAGTTTACCGGACATCATCTTATTCCCGTTTATTCACCGATTGCATATCATTCGACAATTTATCAGAGACAACTTCCTCGATCACTACTTCCCGAATAACTATCCAAAACTTGTAAAATGGTTCATCGCAATGCGTAATATGCCAGAGGTGACTACTAATTATTAGCTATAGAGACAGTAAAAATGATTCATTGCTGTTCCTTAATAAAGATTCCTCCTATACACTTTAATTTGTTATCATCACAATATTTTTGAACATTTTAAAAGTCCCAATATCGAACTTGGCAATGGTATAATTACCTTTTGTTGCAGATTCGAGCAGTTCAAGAACCAGAACACCACTTAAGGGCTTACCTCATCAGCAAAACTACTGATTTCAACACCAAGGTCGGATCTGACCTCAATAGCCTAACACCAGTTAGCTGGAAACTTCTCAACGACTCAGTCGTTCAGTATCGACTAAACAATGCACAAAATTGAGAGAAAGATGGAGCTCCACTCTCATCCTCGTTTCAACGAATCTTAATTTTTAATAAACAGAAAGAGTATCATTCAGAATGAGAAAACGAAATATTCCTTTCGCAATATTCCTTTTTAATGTGCCAAATATTTTTGCATCCATCGAACGCACATTTAAACTATAAATTAAATAATTAAAAGCATGGCATCCATGTTGCTATCAAAACCTTCAACGTAGACCAAACCAGCAGTTTAAATCGAATCCGATGATTGTGTCTATTGTGTCTAAGACATTTTAAAAGTTTTACCCGCAAAGAAGCACGCTCAACATAGGGATTTCATTTTTAATAAGCATTGGAATTGATGAACCGACAAATATGAAAGTTCAAATTAAAAAATCAGAAAATATATTCCATTCTTTGCCTTCTCAAGCATTATGACATAATTCGAAAGATTGAGAAGTTTCGTTTTAAGCTGTTCCCTCGAAACCACAAAAATAAGTAATCAATACCTTCTAAATTTTTATTTTTCTAACGTCTCTTTCTAAATTTCTAACGAAGTCGAAGAAATTGAAAAAAAAAAAAACTTCCCTCACTTTCAAACACACTTAACCTTCTCATTCCGAAAAAAGATATCTTTCAACTTGGCAACAAATAAACAAATCTGTTTCACAAAATATAGAGACATAAGGTAAGTAAATTAATTATAGGTCTTAAAGGTTACATCGATTTCTCTGGATGACAATCTGACTTAAAGGCTTCACTAGGAAACAACCAATCACCCTTTTAAAACAGCACTTGCATTTGGATTGTTTGGATTCTACCGTCATAAGTAAATAAATCACCAAACTATCCACAACATATTCCCGAGATCTAATCCAAATGATTTACTGAGCGAATGTACCGGATTGTGGCATATTTGAATGTTGTTCGGCTAAATATCTCTAAACACATTTCGAGCCCATTGGAGCCAAATCATTCAGGTTATTCGTTAAAATATCCGTAATCCGAAACCAAGCTAATGCCGACAATCTAACTTTGGAAGGAAGAGAAAAAGAATTTCAAGAGATAATACAATTCCAGTAAACAAAACAAGTTGCTAATAGTTGTAATTAGCAGTTGTAACAGTAAATGAGAGACTTCTACTTGGAGAGATTGAAAGAGATAGAAACTGTTAAAAATAGTGTTATATTGGCAGAGAACGGGAGGACTCTCTCCTCCTCGTTCCTCACTATATCTTTAAAGATGAAGAGGAAGGCTGTAAAGGACTCATTTCAACTGCAGCAGACGGATAAGGTCCCGCGGTAGCTTTTAGATCTTTGTACTTTCGGTTTCGCTTAACAATACGAACTGTTTTACCGGGTGCTTCAGCGGATTCCTCAAACGCTTTCCGTGGTTTCCTTTATGAGGGCAACCACATGGGCCTGAGAAGATTCACCTTAGTAGAAGTCATTTCATTGCTGCATGGTTGGTGAGTAATCTGTGGTGATCAGTTAGATTAACGTTTTAAGATAATAGTATACCTCAATGATGCTAACACTGAGTGCTCTTAGCAATCTCGAAGTCCTCGATAGGATGACAAACCACACTGCCTAGATTGCTACCTAAGAGAGGTTCCAGAGACGCCGATGGAGTGTATACATATTAATTATGTCTTTAGTGGTTTATTACAGGTGTGCAGGATCAGCAATAGTTCGATGCTGCCTGCAAGTCGAGGTCTATGCCGATTAGTTGCTCAATGCTTAACTCAACATCATGCTTCTGTTCAGTGTGCTGCGATCATCAATTGCTGCTTCACAAGTAAATAATTGATGAATCTCTCTCTCTATATATATATCATCATTCTGCAAGGTACCAATTTTCAGAATGGTCAGAATAGCTTTTTAATTATATCGATTTTTAGATGGGCAACGGAATGTTCTGGTGAAGCAAACATTTGGAATTCATACAAGCAGTATTAGGTACAAACGTGATTATTATGAGATTTTGGGTTTGAAGAAGGGAGCATCAGCAAAGGATATTAAAAAAGCATACTATAAGGTTTGCGATGTCATTGTATTTGGAATTTTTCCTTCTTTCTTGATAACACTTCGGCATGATAGCAAATAGAACTGTTTATTCTTTCGAGAAAGGGAATCTTTGAATTTTTTCAGTTGGCAAAACAGTACCATCCGGATGTGAATAAAAGCAAAGATGCCAATGCTCGATTTCAGGAAGTGTCTGAGGCTTATGAGGTTAGTTTAAGAATTAAATTGTTTTGTATGCTTCAGTAATCGCAAATTTTGTTGATCCCATAGAAAGATCAAAAATTATATTTGGGTTGTTGAATAGATCTTATTTTGGCTCATTTTGAATCGAAAGTTTTTTGAGGTGCTTAGTGATGATCAGAAACGTGCTCAGTACGACCAGTTTGGCACAGATCCATTCCAGCAACGTCATACTGCTGGATCAGCAAGTTACGACACGGGTGGCTGGCAGTACCAGTCAACAATTGATCCAGAAGAGTTGTTTAGGAAGATGTTTGGTAAGAAATTGTAAACGTGGATATAATTTATGAAGGTTATTTTAATCTGGCATTAGATGTCAGTGGGATACTTAGAAGCTTGCTTTAATAACATCTCTTCCGACCAATTGGTATTGGCAGTTAATTGAGGTGAGATGATTTTCAGGAGGACGTAGTCCATTTTCCAACTTCACAAGTAATTTTGGCGATTTTGCGGAATCAGCAGATGGTTTTGAATCATCAGAACAGCATATTATGAATATATCATTCGAAGATGCAGCTCGTGGAGCTGAAAAGTCTATGAATATAAATGTTGTGGACGACTGCCCAGCATGCTTCGGAAAAGGAGTTCAGCCGGGTTATAAAAAGGCATTTCTCTTTAATTGTTGCTATTTGTGTTTTTACTTTTTCTGAATCAACTTTGTTTTTGGTATTGACGATCATTCTTTCATTCTTTGAACATCGATATGATTCTGTTTAGAATTATAAGTTAGTCACTTAGTAGAGAGCCAAAAATAGGTATGTTTATATCAAGCAAGATAGCTGTTTGCTCAGCATATCTTTTTGTTTCAGGTTTCCTGTCCATATTGTAATGGGACTGGTTACGTCACGCAACAGATGGGTGGATTTTATATGCAGTCTACTTGTGGACGTTGTCGAGGAACGGGTTTTTATAATAAAAATCCATGTTTACGATGCGAAGGACATGGTCGAACAGTTCAGCAGCGTACTGTAACCGTTAATGTACCAGCTGGAATAAATGATGGTGAAACTGTACGAATGCCAGTAGGAAAGGTCAATTTTGAAGATTTTGTTCTAAAAAGTGTCATATGAATAAACTTGCGCATTATATCATTATACATTATGTCATTTGGTATTCATAATTTTTTTCAGTCAACTATTTTCATTACGTTCAAAGTGGCCCCATCATCTCGCTTTCGACGTGATAAGTATGACATTCATTGTGATGTTGAAATATCTATTGCACAAGCGGTTCTTGGAGGTACCGTCAAGGTACTTCATTTTTTCTCTTTCTGAAAGTATAATTGATGATTGTTGTTTATGAAAGAAGTGAAGAGAGGAAAAAAGGAATGGAGAAAACGGAGTTATCATATAAAAATAAATAGCAAAACATAATTCGGGACGAATGAGAAACTAAAAATTTCCTTTGCATTTGAATGCTTTCATGAGTCCTTTATTAGCCATAATTTTGATAATTTTGAAATAAGCTGAACAGTATTAGGAATAAACTATAATAATTTCCATAACTTAAGGAAATAGAAAATTTTGGCAACTAATGTGGGTCAATAATAAAGTATTATTAGCAGATGAAATCAGACAAATGAAGGGATACCGGAAAGTGGAAAGAACGAAAAATTCTATTTAATTCTAAAAACTATTAGTGAAATCTATAGAACATATTTAATTTAGATTGCAAGATGATCCTGTGGTTTAGAGTCCTCTGAGTTGTAGTGACATATCGAAAATCGTACTCAGATATTTCAAAACTCAATCGATTTTGGCGATTGTCATGTATTTTTAACTATTTTTACCATATAGCACATTTATTCTTCGAAACGTTGTCAGTTAAGCTGATTGTTACCTGTGTGTTAAATATAGTACTGTATTTTTACTGCGATGAAATTGTACAGGTGCCGGGGATAAAAGAAGACACGTACATACAAATACCACCAGGAACTGCATCACATACGAAAATGCGTTTGACGGGTAAAGGAATAAAAAAATTGAATTATGCAGGATACGGAGACCAGTATATAAATATCAAGGTGAAAGTACCAAAGTAAGCGATTGTTTAGTTTTATAAAACATTATTGCCACCTTAAGGACGCATTCGTTCATTTTTGAGATAGAATGTATGAAGTGATTAAAATGGATTTAACTAGTAACGGCTCAGTCAATGATGAGTTCTTGCTGAATGAATATCTGACGGGATTTATATTGAGCTTTAATGAAATATGAAAGAGCAATTTGAAAACTTTTGTATTGATATATAAGAAAACTGATACATCATTAATTGAGACTTTATATAAGTTCAGCGGCGGTTCTTAATCCACATCATTATGGATAATTTTTCAGGCTTTTAACTGACAAACAAAAGGCATTGATACAAGCTTGGGCTGAACTGGAAACCGACACTCCAGGTACGATAAAGGGAATAAACAGTACTGTGGAAGGTAGGTTTTCTCTTTCCAACATTTTTTTTACCCCACAGTAATCTAGGAAATGATAAAGGAATCCTTCATCCCTTAATCTGTCATGGATGGCGAATTCTCATTTTTTCAGTTAAATGAAAAATTACTTCTCCGTTTTGACTTCTCTTCTTTTAGACATTGAAAGAAAAAGAGCTGGAAATAGGGCGACAGTAGTGGATGATAGTGATGGAAGAAAGAGAGGTCAAAATGGAGAAGAAGAAAGGTATAGCAAAGAAACGTTTTTAAAACGATTGAAAACGAAAATTTTCGGATAAAATGAGTTTAGAAGGTAGGCAACAGACCTTCTTGATAGAAAGAGTTAAATTAGTTTAGTAAGGCATTTCTCAAATACTTTTCTAAGCAGATATGAGTTATTTTCAGGTCAAAAAATAGCCGATGATGAAACTGGTTATAGTTCAAAAATAAGAGAAATTTTGAGAAACTCAGACAGAAAATATTCATCTCAATCGAGCAGTTAGGATGACAATAAAAAAATGATAACGATGAACGTTTGATCAAAAAGAAAAAAGAAGGTTGTTTGTGGAACAGATTTGTTTATTTGTTGCCAAGTTGAAAGATATCTTTTTTCGGAATGAGAAGGTTAAGTGTGTTTGAAAGTGAGGGAAGTTTTTTTTTTTTTCAATTTCTTCGACTTCGTTAGAAATTTAGAAAGAGACGTTAGAAAAATAAAAATTTAGAAGGTATTGATTACTTATTTTTGTGGTTTCGAGGGAACAGCTTAAAACGAAACTTCTCAATCTTTCGAATTATGTCATAATGCTTGAGAAGGCAAAGAATGGAATATATTTTCTGATTTTTTAATTTGAACTTTCATATTTGTCGGTTCATCAATTCCAATGCTTATTAAAAATGAAATCCCTATGTTGAGCGTGCTTCTTTGCGGGTAAAACTTTTAAAATGTCTTAGACACAATAGACACAATCATCGGATTCGATTTAAACTGCTGGTTTGGTCTACGTTGAAGGTTTTGATAGCAACATGGATGCCATGCTTTTAATTATTTAATTTATAGTTTAAATGTGCGTTCGATGGATGCAAAAATATTTGGCACATTAAAAAGGAATATTGCGAAAGGAATATTTCGTTTTCTCATTCTGAATGATACTCTTTCTGTTTATTAAAAATTAAGATTCGTTGAAACGAGGATGAGAGTGGAGCTCCATCTTTCTCTCAATTTTGTGCATTGTTTAGTCGATACTGAACGACTGAGTCGTTGAGAAGTTTCCAGCTAACTGGTGTTAGGCTATTGAGGTCAGATCCGACCTTGGTGTTGAAATCAGTAGTTTTGCTGATGAGGTAAGCCCTTAAGTGGTGTTCTGGTTCTTGAACTGCTCGAATCTGCAACAAAAGGTAATTATACCATTGCCAAGTTCGATATTGGGACTTTTAAAATGTTCAAAAATATTGTGATGATAACAAATTAAAGTGTATAGGAGGAATCTTTATTAAGGAACAGCAATGAATCATTTTTACTGTCTCTATAGCTAATAATTAGTAGTCACCTCTGGCATATTACGCATTGCGATGAACCATTTTACAAGTTTTGGATAGTTATTCGGGAAGTAGTGATCGAGGAAGTTGTCTCTGATAAATTGTCGAATGATATGCAATCGGTGAATAAACGGGAATAAGATGATGTCCGGTAAACTGGGTACCTCACCTGCATTTATAAAAATAAATTTAAAACAAAGGTAAGAAAGAGATTGGAACTAAATTTTAAATAGAAAGTATGAAGAAAAATGCAAAAAATGGACGGAAAGTAATTTATAATAAATGAAATAAAAGGAAAGAAATAAGGAAACCTGAATAGAAAGGAGATTGTAACAATTGCTCAGCCGTGGCAAGTTCCAATGCAAGGACGGTAATATTACCGGTTAGTTTTGTCGAGTATGTCATTTGTTTTATTGTTTCACAGATCTGTAATAAATAGTTATTATGATGAATATGGATAAATAGAATTTTAGAAGTGAGAGAGTGTACCGGTTCTAGTTTCAGTGCATAATATCGTTGCTTTGCTCTCAGATACGAGTCTTTGGACAAAATACTTGTTTCCGGAAACGTTTCATCCAAATATTCAATAATCACTCGGGAGTCAATCACCAGCTGCAACTTATATTTGTAATTTTCATAAGAACTGATCACTTCCCTCGGACATTTACAAGTTCCACTTAATCAACTCGAAGAAGTTCAATAAATCTCTAGAAATGAAGTGAATGAACAAACTTTGCCGTTATGGTCTAGAAGTGGTACACTTTCTTCCGGATTCTTCAAAATGAACCATTCGGGCTTGTTTTGAAAATCAATATGGAAAACTTCAAATCTGAAACGAAGAATTGTAA